AGGGGGAAAGACAGACACACACAGGGGGAAAGACAGACACACAGAGAGGGAGAAAGACCGGGCAGCCAGGGAAAATGGTTAGCGTGGTCCGGAAGACGAGCGGATCCTTCGGCCGGCAAAAGAACACGAGCCGCACATTCTGCAGATGGGCCTGAGGCGAGAGCATATTCGTGGACCCGGGGCCCTCGGTCTTGCGCTCATACTCGCGCAGCCGATCTCGAGCCACCTGCAGCTGGCCCACATTCATGGACTTGAAGCGAAGCAGCGCGCTCGTGGGCAGGGACGTGAGCTCCCGCTGCACGGCCGCGCTGAAGGAGCTTGTCTCGGTGGCCAGCTGATTGCGCAGGGCGATGGCCTGGGTGCTGAAGATGTCATCCGAGGGCGCTACCCACTTGGACAGGGCCGCCGACTGCTGGCGGGCATATTGCTCCAGGCGCCGGTGCTCGGACGCCGCCGCCAGCAGGGCATTGGCTCGGGCGTGCCCGGCCTCCGTGGTGTCGGTCGTGCCGGGAACCGCCGGCAGCAGGGCATCGTAGATTGTCTGCCCGGGGAGCAGGTGCCCCTGCGGGCCGGTGGCCGGAGCCGGCGCGGTCACCGGAGCCGGCGCGGCCACCGGAGCCGGCGCGGCCGCCGGGACCGACACGGCCGCCGGATGCTGCTCCGTCCGGGATCCAATCCGAGGCTTGGAGGGCGAGGTGAAGCTGTCGCCAGAGGTGGAACCGCGCTCGATGGCAATCTCATGGGCCCGCTCGATGCACCCGCGCGCGAAGAAGAAGAGCTGATCGATGCGCTGGGATTTCATGGCTGCATGAGGGGCAGCCGGAGGAGGAGGAGGAGCAGGGCAAAAAGCTTGTTAGGGGCAAAAGACCCACACAGCCGGGGAGGCGCGAGAAGAACGGCAGGTGGCGCACGCTGCACGTCGGCAATCGTCCCGTCGTCGAGGATGGTCGGGATGACGTCCTTCAGACCCTCGGAGAGGAGAACCAGGCAGTCGAGGTACGACAGATAGGCCTCCTGGGGGGGGGGGGGGGCGCGAGGCAGGGAGGCCGGGGTCAGTGTGGGCCGGAAAGCCGGATCCGAGGAAGACCATGCTGAAGCCGTACATCGTGCATGCCCTCGCTGTCGAGGTCGAACGCCTGGCCCAGCTGCTGCTGGATGAGCTGTATGGATGAGCGGGACATCTCTCAGCGCCGGTGGGGAGGGGACCGGGGATCGGAGCGAGGCAAAGGGGACCAGGGGGGAGGGTGAAGCTCGGCAGGACGGACGGGGAGACGAAGCGTGCGAGGGAGAGGGGGGGGGGGGGAGAAAGTGGATGGGGAAGGGAGGACAAACAGACAGATGGACAGAAGGTGGATGTGTCGGGTGCCACTGCACCGGGTCGGCGCGGCTCCGGCCATCTCCCCTCAAAAGAAGCAGCACACACACAGGGCCCCGGAGCCCCAGGCCGCAGGCCGGCGCCAGCCACGGCCCCACCATCACAGAGGCCCCTCTCCCCTGGAACCAGCCCCCCCCTCCCCGACAAGGAGGCCATCCCCACCGACAATGGCACCTGGCGATCGCAGCTATTATTGGTTAACAGACACATGGAAGAAGAGGCCCATTCTGGCCGCCCCCCGCCGTGCCCCCTGCCCGCGCTCCGGGCCTCCGCCTCTCGAGGATGCCCCCAAGCGCAGCCCGGCGGGTGGAGCGAGGCCCCGCAGAGGGAGGGACTAGTTCCCCGATTGGGGGCAAATCGAGGAGGGCAGGTCAGACACGTGACTCGGCCGCGGAACGGACGGGCCGTGTTTTCCCCCGCCCGGCTGGGGGAGGAGAGGGCGGGGGCGGGACAGACAGTTGGCACGTTAGCGGGATCGAGCTTGTCCCTGGAGATGAGCCTAGCTCGCCCGACCGGGGAGGGGGGGGGGGGGATCTTGCAAGTCCCTCGCCCTCTCGCTGTCCTAGCGCGCCGGAGCCCACCCTCGCACACCACGACCGAGCCGTGTGTCGACCGGCAGGAAGCGCGCGCGTGTGCGCGTGCGTCCGTGTGTGCCGGTCCCCGGGAGCGCATGCAGGGCCGCGGCACGAAAAGACATGCAATGGTGCCAACAGAAACTAGAGGCATGTTTGTATTTGGGGGTTTGGGGGGGAGGGAAAAAGAAGAGGAGGGGGGAGGGGAAGGACAGAGAAAAGGAGGCGGGCCCGGGAGGGAGACATGAGGTGGATGGGGAGTGGGGAGATGCCGGAATGCATGCACAGCTGACGGGCGCCGTCTGGGTGTGCTGAAGCATACACACACACACACACACACGCACACACACACACACATGAGGATGACACGAGCACAGGCGCATGCGCGCGAACGCGACATGGACCCCCTTCTCTCGTGGCACAGGTGCATGAACAGGCTCTCGCTCTTGCGTAGACGCAAGAG